AAACTGTGATGGTGTAGCTATCACATCGCAAAATTACAGCTTCCCAGAGAAAGTATGAAATTTTCGGTCAAATTCAACATTTTGTAACCACTAGCAAAGAATGACAGATATATATTTAGGATGGTATAGTACAGAGTTTATCGTAAACAACTTCTTTTTCAAGGTAAAGCTAAAGTGTGCTAGGGTACATACCATCACTGCATACCTGTTGCATGTGAATATTGGGTTTAAATAAAAAAAATTAAAAGAGATATTGATAAATCACAACATAAACTATAAATAGTACAGGTACAAGCAAAAAGATTTCTTGTATTAAATCAAAATAACAGTCATACTGACAATTAAATTTGAGAATGGGACAGTAAGCCTGGGTATAGTTGCCATCTAGCAGGAGAACTATATTGATTGCACAGTGCTGACCAGTAATTTTAATACTAACCAACAGTTCTAAACATCAAAATCTTTGCCAGTTTTTCTTTTTTTTTACTCTTGGAGGGGGGGGGGGGGGGCATGTTGCACAACTGTAATAATTCAAACTTTTTTGTTTGTCAAGGAGCAATTTTCTATGTGAAACACTGGAAAAAAGTCAGCAAAATGTTTGTTTGAACCAAAGAACAACAATTATTGGCAGTGTATCAATTTGTTGAGCACTGTTCTTGGCAAGGAGTCTTTAGGTATCAGTTTCATTTCACAGCTTGTAGATACAGATACAGGCCTACCCAACTACCAGACTCGGCACCAAATGATCCTGAATTCACCTGCAGATTGGACAACACTACCCGTTTTCAAGGTGTGTATCGGTATGCGCTTCGGAGTATCAGACGCGACACCACTCTTGCCTAGTACGCGATGTGATAGTGATGATTCTTAGCAGAGTTGGAAAGTAGTGCATCTTATCTCAAAATTTGTTCCGGAGTATGATACTGTGAAATGCGTACTGACGAACACCTTGAAAAAGGGTAGTGTGGTCTGATCTACCGGTGAATTCAGGATCGTTCGGTGCCGAGTCTGGGAGTTGGGTAGGCCTGAAGATAGAGCAGTTTGTCATATTCAAACTGCTCTATCTTCTTTGTAAAAGTTCTCACAAACAAGCTAATGACTATACATATTTGCAGCAGCTACAAATTAAGCAAGTAATAATCAAGTACATAAATTAAGAACAGACAAGTCATCATCTGCAGACCTTCTAACATTCACATTTAAACATAAGATACTTCTATAAGCGTATTATTCGAAATACTGACAACCAAAAGGAAACATGACGTATTTAAAGAAACCAACCTCCGTTTCCTCCCAGTCAACTTTGCTGTCTTCCTCAGGATGTCGTACACCTGTGAAGCATTTCATGATTCCTTGACATATCCACCTCCGGAAGCCAACGGTTATAAATCTACTTAAGGTACTTACAGCTATGGGCCAGAAGTGTCTTGTTAGGTCACATTCATTTTGACTCTGGTAAAGTCAAGATATTAGAAAGGGGGGGGGGGTGTCAAATTAATTCATCAATCCCCCATCCAATGAAAATTGGGATAATGAAATATGAAATATGGTTCTACTGATTGTTCTAATATTTATTTTCATCCTCTCCCTTATTTCAGAGATGGAAAGTGTGCCAGATAAACAATTTTGTATATTTAGAAGGGTGTGGATCCCCCCATGATAGTGGCACTTCTAATACCTTGTGTCTTCCCTGTCTATTACTCCAGAGTATGAACCAAATTTAAGTTATTTTTAGCTCAAAATCATTTTTCCATCATTTTCAATCAAATTCACATCTAAACACACTCATATGTAAAATCGGTTAGTAATAAATCACCTTCAATATCTAAACTGATAATTTAAAGAAAAAATGCATTTAAAGAAAAAATCACATAGACCAATATGTTAGCTAAGTTTCATATCACTGATTCAGAAGTAATACTGATTCATACTGAAAGGCATCATACCATACCATACTATACTGAACCAAATCATACTATACCATACTGAACTGCACCAAACTATACCATACTGAACTGCACCAAACTATACCATACTGAACTGCACCAAACTATACCATACTGAACCATACCAAACAATACTATAACAGGCCCATAGCCAGCAAATTCAAAAGGGGGGTTCTTTTTCTGAAAAAGTGGACCTTTTACAATGAAACTTGTGTATGTAGATAAATTTTTACCCAAAATGGACCTTTTCCTGACAAAAGGGGTGGTTCCTTCGAACCCCCCGAACCCCCCTGTCTACGGGCCTGTATAAAATACTGAATTGCATCATGCTGTACCATACTTATTGCACAATGTGCTCCTGAATTGCACAGTACTGACTGTGATCTTATGATAATTTACTATACCAGAGTGTACTGTACCATACCATAATCTACTTTACTGCATGTACCATATTGTATTGTAAAGTAGTAACTGCACATAGCATATCATACCATGCCATGATGAACTGCACCTTTATTGTACTACAGCATATTGTACTCTACTATCATGCCATACTGGGATAGCGCTAGCAATTTTTTCCGCTTAGCCAAATCATCACTTTTTTGTCAATTTGTTATGAAAATGGTTTTAATTTGACTAAAATTCATCAAATCAAGTCCTTTTTGTTTAGCCAATTTAAGTCAGTTTTACCATTTGGCTAAATTGGTGAGTGCTAGCACAACCCCAGCCATAAATTGCTGTACCATAATGGTCTGTACCACATGGCACTGTCCTGTACCACATGGCACTGTTCTGTACCATAAATGTTCTGTCCTGTACTGTTCTTGGCACACAGAGCATGTAAACTAGGAGGAAAGTCACCATAGTGGTCAACTTTTTCTTTGTTCATTTAGTAACCAAACTCATTATAAA